TTGGAGATGCCCTTAAAATCTTAGCCGAGTAACCAGATGACTGTTAAGCTCCAACAATAATAACTCTCTAGAGGGCACCTTAGAACTGCACCTATAACTTGAGTTATAATTTATGCTCACGAACATTGTGGCACTCCATGCTTGTTATAGTACTTTTCAAACGTCCCCTAATTGTTTCTGATATGTCTTTCTGGCAACCAAGCTTGTGAATGTTACATGGGACCTCTATTGCCTATCCTACAAAATCCTTCTAATAAATAATCACCAGCCATCAACCACCAAATATCTCTAACAGTCTTCCCATGACTTTTTGCTAATCAATACTGCCATGGAGTTTCCTTCAATTGAACTTCGGAAGTCGATATTGTCACACTGCTTACTGCTGGACTGCTCACCCTATTTCCTATGCCTTTTGCAGTAATCGCACTATACTTCCATTGATATTTTTATGTTAGATTTACCATCATTCATGACGATCCCACCTCTTGAAGATCTATCACCACCTTAATTAACCCACCCTGTTTACAACTTGAAAATTTGTGACAGTAACTTACCTCAACTATTGGATATCTATTTCCTTTTTCTTTCAATTATCCTTATGGTGCCATTTTTTTTGAGATAAAACTAATCGCCTTAATCAAGGCATCTCCTTTAATCCCGAACTTGTCTGCTAGATACAAAATGCAAAAACCATCAATTCTGCCACATTTCTAAGGATGTCCACCATATGTAAGAAATACATGAAAAAAGAAAACTAACAAGAACACAAAGATAAAACACCAAAANATATATATATATATATTGTCCCGCTAAAAATGATCCATGAATTCCATTATATCATGATGAGATTCTACAAGAGAACCACCCTTACATTTTGACAATAAAATGATGAAAAAGTCATTGCTTACCTTAAATTCTGTTGGAGTCGCAGAAGCTAGATGGGAAATAGTTTTGGCATTTGGAGGATTGGGAATGGAAGAAAGTAGAAAAGGAAGAGGCAATGTGGATGTGGGAAGCTTGTATTGAATTGCTCAATTACTTCAAATGCACCCTCCCCACTCTTATTTATAGAAATGAAGATGGAGGGGAGGGAATTCTCTAGAACTTGCAACAAATCTCTACAACCTTCAGAAGTTTCTAGAACAAAATTTCTAGAAAAAATTCTAGAACCTTTGTAGAATATCCACTCCAGGACCTATTTCCTATCATCAAGTTAGTAGATTTTCTCTAGAAATATTACTTTTAAAGGAAGTTGTTAATGATTTTTCAATACTCATAAACAACTTACCGGGTCATGTACTGAACTCAACTTTTATAAAGGTTGCATCTGCATATTTCGGGTTTGGCTTCTTCATCTTTGTTGGTCTTCCAAGTTGGGTGAAAAATTATCCAAATTAGAAATTAACACTCATCAATTACATGGTCATCTTTAATCACCCAATTAACAACGTTAACACTGTTATAGGTTGCCTCAAATACTCAAATTCATATTGCTTTGAGAGTTCCTTTTATGGCTTGGTTTGTTTTGATCAAGAGTCCTACTTACATTAGACTTTGCACAATCAATCATATTAGAGGTTTATTTCTACTTGGACACTTGTTGGGTTTTAGGACATGTGGACTTCTATTCCTATTAGAACTCTTATTCCTTAGACAGCAAGGAGTTGGGATCTTCAATGCTATATAAGAATAGTTTTTCAAGCCAATTTCAATCATCAATCTTTAGAGCACCAATCAAGAAGAGTGTTCTTTTGTGAAGCATATTTGATATTCTTCTCTTTTGTTCCTTTAGTTGAGAGTTGTATTAGGCTTTTAGGGTGTGATTTGGGATTGAGAGGTTAAGAGATCCACTTTGTATTCCTCACAATTAGTAAAGCTTTTCTCCTCCTTCGCCCGTGGACGTAGGCTACAAGCCGAACCATGTATATCTTTGTGTTCGTGTGCTCTTGATATTTTTCGTGCTCTCGTGTGATTGATATTAGCTTATCCTGGAAAAATTTTCATAACAAATTGGTATCAGAGCCCTCAGCTATCAATCGGATGAAAAAATGACAACTACTACGAAGTGGGATATCGAAAAGTTTGATGGCAACATCAATTTCAGCCTTTGACAAGTTAGGATGATCGTCATGTTGACACAGAATGGATTGAAGAATACTTTGTTCGGAAAGTCGAAGAAACCGGCTACTAGGACGGAGGAAGATTGGAACGAGTTGGATGATAACGCTCTCACAGCGATCCAGTTATGTTTGACAAATAAAGTTTTACAAGAAGTTCTCACGGAGAAAACAGCCGCTGATTTGTGGTTTAAATTGAAGGATTTGTATTTAACGAAATCGCTTACTAATCACCTCCTCTTGAAGCAACGTTTGTACACACTTCGGATGTCGGAAGGAACACCCATCAAATCTCATATTGGTGAATTTAACTCTGTGATTACAGATTTGAGTAAGATTGATGATGAAGATCAAGCTCTATTGTTATTGTGTTCTTTGCCGCCTTCCTACAGCACTTCAGAGATACTATGATTTACAATCGAGATTCTATTGGTATCAATGACATCAAAGAGAACTTATTGAATAAGGAGAAGATTGACAAAGAGTTAACCACAAGTGAAAATGACGATAAAGCTGATGGCTTGTTTGTTCGAGGAAGATCAGAAGAAAGGGGCTTTGGAGGTAAAAGGTACAAGTCGAAGCACGGGACTCTGACCTACAGATATTGTAAAAAGAAAGGGCACATCAAGACTGGTTGTTACAGATTGAAGAACAAAAATAAATAAGAAGAGTATAAAGAAAAATCAAAGGACTCTGCTAAAGTTGATATTGTTGAAGATGTGATTTTATTGGCTACAGATGATATAAACAGGTGCATGGATGATTGGATTTTGAATTCGGGTTGTTCCTATCATATGTGTTCTAATCGGGACTAGTTCACCACTTATGAAGCTATTGATGGTAGAGTTGTTCTTATAGGGAACAATGTCTCATGCAAGACTGTTGGGAAAGGCACAATTCGGATTAAGATGAATGATGGAGTCATCAGGACTTTGACAGATGTTAGGCATGTTTCAGGTTTAAGGAAAAATCTCATCTCTTTGGGCACTCTTGTTAGCATTGGGTGTAATTTTTCAGGTGAAGGTGGAGTTCTTAGGGTTACAAAAGGCTCTCTTGTGGTTATGAAAGGAAAAATAATCGGCAGCTTGTATGTTTTGCAAGGTTCTACCGTTACCAGCTCGGCTACAGTTGCATCGTCGATGTCAGGAGTTGATACTACCAGATTATGACATATGAGACTTGGTCATATGAGTGAGCGCGAATTGACCGAGTTAAGTAAGAAGGGTCTTTTATCAGTTTATGTAGACAGAGTACAGGAAAATTAGAATTCTGCGAGCATTGCATCTTTGGGAAGCAGAAAAGAATCAGTTTCAGTACGACAGTGCATCAGACTAAAGGTACTTTAGATTTATCCATTCAGATCTTTGGGGACCTTCTTAAGTTGCCTTGAGGGGTGGTAGTTCTAGATATTTGTTGACCTTCATTGATAACTA